GAAGTTGATTTAACTTGATATATTACTTTATTTCTTCTAATGTTTTGTGCTACACGTGACCAATTTTATCGCCATTGCTCTTTTATTCTTATTTTCCAATATAAATAACATTTGACCATCACTTAGTTGTTTTTCTATGCTAATGTACTCACGTACCATTCAAACATACGGGATTCCCTATAAATTAAAAGAGATCGAAATTTTATTAAAATTTTAAATGAGATCACGTGGATAGTTTATACATTATGCACCACATTATGCATTAAAATGTACCCAATCCTTAACTTAAGCAAGCTTAACTATTAAGAATATGCGATATTATAGATATCGTTATTCAACGATGTTATAGGTGTAACTCAGTACAAAAGCCACTCACATGTTGCAACTGATTATGAGATACTTCTAAACGTGTTCCGCTGGTACGTGATGGTAATTTTTATTTAACCAAATGCTAATAAAACAGGATACCTAGGTACAAAACAAATTCTACCCATACATTAAATTAGTGGCCAAGGATATCCTTGGTATATAGTTAGGATAATACCTAGGTTTGGGGCCACGGGTGCTTAGAGTGGGGACTGTAGATGCCTACCCAGTGGCTTCAGGTGGTAACACAGTAGTCACGTGCTGCCATGCAACTGCTCAGCGAGATTCAAGGGAGAGAGAGTCTCCCTAGATATGTGCTGCAACAGATGTTGTACTGTGGGGGCTCCGGGGTAGGTCTGTTAGAGGACCCGGTGTTTTCTACGGGTTCTGAGGCTGGCCACCGGGTGGTTTTAGTGAGGAAAATCCCATACTCCCTAGTGTTTCTCCCCAAAAGGCTCGGCGCCGTTGGTAAAAAAAATATATGTAGGACTTACTTGTCTTTGTATTGTAACTTTCGTGAGACATACTAAATAAACTCGAGGAACCAGTAGTAGCGCGACAGTCGCCGCGTCGCGGGTCGCGTAGGCTCATGAATATAAGCCTCTTGCATGGCTTGAAACTAGTCCAGTTCCTCTTAAAATCATTACGTGAGTAAACCGAAAACACAATAATTGACTTACTTTGTTTTTATAATAACTAACGTGAGACATACTAAATCAAGTAAAAACGCGGGTTACTCACGTGAATATACTGAGAAAAGCTCTACTAGTTTCGAACCACAGAGGGGTTCGCGGCGACGTCGCGCAGCTCACTGTGACGTCGCCGCGACCGCGCACGCTGCTCATGAGGAAGACGTGTGACTCAGTATATTCACGTGAGTAACCCGCGTTTTTACTTAATTGACTTACTTGTCTGTTTTAGATGCGTTTACAAATCTTGCATTGCTGTCAGACTCACAAGACCAAATTATGAATTCCACTTAGAATTGTACCGTGCAAGATGGAACCACTGTCTCCTTGCCAAGTCATCTGCCAACTTATAATGACACGACATTGTTTCAGCTAATAGCCAGTATGGCTCCAAACCTGCTCCTTCTGGACCTGGGTATGGCTATCAGTTTCGCCACTATAGTCATACCCGACCTACTCAATGCGAAGACAGGTCTCTCATTCACAGACACTCAGGCATCATGGTTTGGTAAGAAAACATATCGTGCCCATATATTTTTGTATTCCCCGGAACATTTTATGTACAGATTTTGGGTTGTTTAGTTAATCAAAAAAATGCTCACTGCATATTAATAATATACAAATTGTTAAAAAACATATCATTTCTCACTTTAGGTAGTCTCTCATTCCTGACGCAGCCACTTGGAGCTGTAATATCAGGCCCGATTGTGGACTACGTTGGTAGAAAAAAGGCCACATTCCTAGTCAACCTTCCTCATGTCATGGCTTGGATCATCATGTACTTCGCATGGAATGTACCAGTCCTATTCATTGGGAATGCTCTTTTAGGCATTGGAACTGGAATCATGGAAGCACCAATCAACTCTTACGTAAGCGAAATCAGGTAAAAATGGACTTGAACCTAACATTCATTCAAAATTTAGATAATTCATTTGTTTTATGCCTTTTTAAAAATCATAAGGTACGTTAATGTGTTTGTATTTGATTTTGTCATTTCAGTGAGCCATCAGTGCGAGGTGCCCTGTGTACCGTAACCCAGTTATTCCTATCCATCGGCGTATTTGCGATGTACTTCCTCGGCTCCGTGGTCACATGGCGTGTTGCAGCCATTGTCTGCATCTCCATACCCTTCACATCAATGCTGCTTGTGTTAATTGGAGCCGTAAGTAATACTTGTTCTTCTATAACTCCATTTCTGTCTAAAATTTTACTCCCATTTTATAATGTTGATACCAAAATATATAATTATCATAGGACTTTTGCACTCTAAACCCTGCTTTATGATACCTACAGTTCTTCATTGATAGAAAAATGTAAATGTTATTTTCCAGGTCCCAGACACACCAGTTTGGCTACTATCTCGAGGTCGAGAGAAAGACGCTCTTAAATCCTTGTGTTTCCTCCGTGGGTGGACTACAGCAGACAATGTTAAGGAAGAATTTGACGAACTAGTTGTCTACTCTAAGAACCTAGATGGCTGTGTCATTTGTTGGAAGAAGGGCCAAGCAGAGTCAGAATGTAATCATTCTAAAATGAACCGTATTAGAAGGTAAATATGATAGTTTATTGAAGATATATGATTCGGATTGCGATGCGTTGACAGCTTTTAGCATAGGTATAGCATGAAAAAAGACTGGTGCATATTTATTTTACACATAATACGACATTCTACATACTGCTACTACTCATAGTACATTTTATGTCCTTTAGAACACCGATCCCCTGTTAATTTTACATGATACCTCTTTATTGTATTAACTTTTGAAATAAACTCTGCCACGTTCGTCACCCACAATGTAGGTACATCCTGTAAATGTACCTTGACTTTGCATATATTTTCCAGTACCTGCAAAACTTTTTCCTTGTCGACAGGGAAAAAAATAAAATAAAAATCCTCTACAGTTTTTGCAAAACCTTTTGAAATCGTAATAAAGAACATGCTTTTCTTTGCAGATTCTTCGTGGAATTTAATATAGTGATGCTCTGCAAGGAGACTCTAAGGCCGTTGTGTCTTTCGATGTTGTACTTCACATTCTACGTGATGAGCGGCCTCACCCCCATCAAGCCTAACATGGTGAACGTCTGCTCAGCTATGGGCATGGCTGATGATAGCAAGAATATTGTGGTAAGCAATCAAAGACAAATATCATCATTATCGTCTTATATTCCCCAATGAGGTAGACAGGGAGAGATGAACTGAAACAAAATCGTTCTCGCAATAATTTCACAACCGTTACGGTCAAATTCTAACTGATAAGACTGTTGTAATCTCAACCTGTTGCAGAGTTAAAAGCAAACATCTTTGAGTAACTTAAAACAAACAAAAATGTATATCCACCGATTTTTTGCAACCGTATTCAGAACAGCCTCTTTTATGTTTCTCGTTGTTTGTAAAAATCGCACATTTTTACATTACCGAGCAAATTATGCTTTTGACGTCAGTAGCGAGTGCCTAGCCTTTGTTACTTGGCTTAAAATATCACATACTTACACGTAACTATTGTCATAATATCTTTACTTACTTGCTTACAATGTTTTTCAAGAATAAAACACAATGGATTGTTTCATATCTCGTTTGTGTTTGCGGTTACGGCTATCATTAACTGAAACTCTTGTCAAGTTCATTTAAAATGATTAAGGCCTACTGAATACGACACGTCATTTGATGAATACATACCACCTACAAATGACGATAGGTATATTTGGATGACGAGTGAGTGACGCAACATTGCGCTTCGTGGATAGTCCTACTTCCTACTTCTTTTCCACTTCCTTTTTACTTCCGGTTCGACTGGAGTAATGTCACGGCCACACAGAAAACCGACGTCAAACAATACTTGGGTTGTGTTGCGTCTGAGGCCCAATTACCTCCTCCCCAGTCTCTTCAATCTCCCCAAACCCCAAATCCTCAACAATCCTCAAATTCCTGAACTTTAAAAGACTGGTAACGCACTTATAACACCTCTGGTGTTTCGGGTACCCACGGGCGGCACCGATTGATGACCATCAGGTAATCCGTCGGCTCGTAAACACTGGGGATAAGATAATGAATTTTCAAGTTCATTAAGTATGAGTTCTCGGTTTTTCAAGTTAAGAAAGTAACTGATAAAATATGAATATAAAGGCTTATTTTTACAGGGCTGATAACAGAACTGTAGAAAAATGTATCATTTATAAGGATGTTGTCTTACGTGTTGTAATTACACTAACCCAACTTATTTCAGGTAATGGTGGGCGTTATAACTTTACTAGCGAGCATCACAGTGATTGGCGTTATAAAATCTTTGGGCAAACGAAAGTTGGGTATCACAGCTATGCTTGGCACGGCTATCTCCTGTACTGGCCTTAGCGTATACGCACACACCCAACTAGATGACAAGGTGTTCTCCTACGACTCCACGACGTTTCCAGAAGAGAAGAGTATGGTTCCTTTGATATTCTTCTACATACTCACCGTGTGCACTGGTTTCAACGTCTCTTGGATCATTCTTGGCGAGGTCTTTCCTTTCAGGTAAGGGGATAGTTTTAATATGAATTTAGTAAGTTTAAAGAAAGAAATTCTCAATATTATTATCGAATATCAAGATCCAATCAATGTTATATGATATTCACTTTAACTCATAAGTTTCGTTAAAAATAACATGTACAATTTTATTTTTCTAGGAGTCGAGCTTCAGCACAAGGCTGGGGAGCGGCTTGGAATTATGTAGTCACTTTCATCGGTACCAAGACCCTCATAAACTTGGAGACACACTTCAGATTGACAGGAGCCTTCGCTACGTACGCTGCCTTTGCATACGTAGGCACCATCTACCTCTACTTCTTCATGCCGGAAACAGAAGGAATCTCTCTTCAAGAAATCGAAACCTACTATAAAGGAAAACTAAGAATATTCGCCGACGATTGGTTCATCAACCTATTTAAGAAAAAGAAATAAGACTTAAATAAAATTACGTTACGCTTATAATTTTATTTTCTAATAACAAATTAGACTAGATCCAATTCTACATACAATTATGTTTTTGTTATAAATAGTCATTATTATAAAATATGTGTTTTTATTTTCTTAAATTATTGATACTTAAGTTTAATTTAGTAATGAGTATTGTAGTAGTTTATTACGAGTCTTTTAGTATATGGGGTCCTCGATTTTTGCCATGAATAGGGGTAGGGAGCTCTTGTTGTCCCATAGTACGGCAATGAAGGGTCGGTTGACCTTGAACACCACAGAAGGATCGTCATAAGATAACGCGACGGCTGCGAAAGCTGTCGCGGCAGCTGCAGAGCCTCCCTGCTCATCAATAGACAGTATGGCTGAATGTAAAGCTGACGATATCTGCGGTGACTGGGTTTGATAAGATCCGATACCGGCCAACTCGCTTAATCGGCTGAACAGCGTTGTTATGCCCATCTGTAAAAATAATACGAAATGTAAATTAATACACTGCCTCGTCGGCCGAGTGTACGTAAGTGCGACTGGCGGGCAAGGGGTCTCGGGTTCGATTCCCGGGTCGGGCAAAGTACTACTGGGTTTTTTTTATATTTTCAATAGGAGCACGGAGTCTGGAACTTTGCCCGGTATTTGGCAATAAGCTCACCTCCTTTTACATGGGACTCATAACATAAATATTGAAAAGTGGGTGTTACATTGTACAGTGGTATAATGTGCACCTCTGCCTACTCCTTCGGGGATAAAAGGCGTGATGTTATGTTTTTTGTTTAATACACCTCCAACATTTTCCTTATGAAAATTTTGATCATTACATACTATGTACCTTTGCCTGTATTGTCAGTGGCGTAGCTAGTATAGGTGGCACCCGGGGCGGATTTTGTAGGTGTCACCCCAAAACTCAATCGAAACTTTTAAAATAAAAAGTAATAATAATTTACGTTTTATTATTTATTTTTTAATTCATTATATTTTTTAATTTAGTTTGTCGAAGAATAAAATTACTTCCTTATAGCTTTGACACCTTGCAACCTCCGAAAGCACGTCTTCTAAATTTATATAATTTTTTAATTAATTTTAATTTGCTTATCCTCATGGTACGATAGCTGCCAGAAATTTACGATTTTTATAAGTAGAATGAACCTATAAATGACTGGCGATCCCCCCCCCCCCCTAGCTACGCCACTGTGTATTGTCACTAGATTTATTCGCTATTATTTAAAGACATTAATTTTAGATAATAACCATGCATTTTTTGGACATGTCAAACGTCCATGTCATTCAATTTATGAATTCTAACGCAGATTAAAACATGTTATTATTATGTCACTGACATACAACAGTAACTGACGTCAACCAAAAAAACAGTAATATTGTCAGTATTCAATAACAAAAACGTTCCTAATTTCAAGATTTAATAAGGAAAATGTTGCAAAGTATTATCTTGCTATGCAAAGGCAGACATACCTGCGACTTGACCGAATTTAACACATCAAAATTGAAGACTGCCTCAATTTATTACAAACAATATTAGAACTTAGCTAATCTGGAATAAGGATCGGAATCCTAATTCAGGAAACCAGTGTTCTTGATCTTGTCCAAGTGAATTTAATTTCTATCAATTGTCTTTTGACCTTGACAAATCTTAATTCCGTAGTACCTTATTATTTTCTGTGTTGTTCTGTGTTGTTGTTCTTTATTTTCAGGAAAAATGAACTATAAAATGCACAAGACGGTATATTTTTTTAAGTAGTTTGTGTGTCACGTGGCGGGACTAAACTGAAGTCTGGCAATGAGAACTATAATGTGTAGATCCACCGCCAGTAGCGATAGGAATAACTAAGGTACACCCTTACACAGGTAACACCATAAAAATTTGCTAGTGTCAAGCCCGGGATCATTCAATTCACAACAACTACGATGATTGGACAAACAAAACATCATTACCTAACTACATTAGTGCCATCTAGCTACAACAGCAACGGCAGTCCTCAATACCGTACCACAAATGACAATAAACAAAAAAATATCATTAAGACTACTCAGTGAACCTGATTGTAAAACAAAAGTACAAACTTACGCTTTGCAAAATAACTTTTAAATCTGTGTCAGCCCTGACTGTGAATTTGGGCAACTCGAGCTCGGTGTCAAGTGGTAAGAAACTGAGGTAGCTCAGCAGTCTCGCATCAGTCAGCGACGCTATTGTGCCCCTGATGCCCACCAGTTGCGACGGCAAGATCACCATCAGGTGATACTCTTCACGCTGGAAAAGTATAAATTAAACATTAATTACTTAAATAGTCGGTGGGTGGGTAGGAGTTTTCCTACTCTAATAAACGACCTACCGATTAACTAGTAACTAGTAAGTTATTTTAAAATTTAAAATTCTAATAATATGATTCCCGGGAATCGAACCCGTAACCGTCGTCAGTATTACGGATCTGCAATTTCTCGATCATTGAAGTAGTTACCTATAGTTATATTACCATCTTAAACCATTTAAAATATATTTTCATAACAACTTACCTCGAAGGGTAACACGATAACTCTAGCATTAGTAGTCGGATCCATACCGGTCTTAAACATCCTGCGCGTACGCATAAACTGGGCCGTTTTTATTTGTCCGCTAGTGAGTTGGAATTCCCGAGGCACAGTTGATTCAACTCTAAACGGCACCTCCCACAGACCTTTGAAGTAAATAGCGTTCACGAGTACCATCTGCGTGTTGCTACTTAAAGCACCTGGAAATAGTAGAATTTACCTTATAATAATAATATCATGTTTTGGATTGGTAACACAAAAAAGTACTCAAAATCCAATTCAAATCGTTTTAGCTAAAAATCTATTATTTTGTTTTAGTTCAGTCTATGCTACTACCATAATTGAGAATTTCAAAATAACATATCTTCAAGCCTACTTTCCCCGACCGTTTCTCCCTTCTTATAGTAAACGCATTTTATCAATAACATTTTAACCTTATATTGTAATACCTAATAATTTGCGGTCCCACAAATTGCATAATTCTTGTTTCCTTGTTAAAAATTTTGAGCAATACGAAGTTAACCAAAATAAATAAATAAATCCCTATAATACTTTGAAGAATGTAAACAAAGGCCTAGGTACTATCTATGCCATCGAATTGACAAAGAATTTTATATTAGTTTACAAGAAACAGGTGCACTTTTTATAAAGGACTACCTCTTTAAATAAACATCGAGAATAACAAACAGGTTGAAATGCGTCACTACTGGGTATCGTACACTATAATCCTATTTATGGGAGCGTTTTGTTCGAGGCTCTAAAGTACAGTAAACGGAATAATTTAACCAATAGCTAATGACGTGCAAAAAGTATTTAAGAATTACTTATTACATGGTACCTACTAGAAGAGTAATAGATTCTGTAAAGAATGATGATAAATAATATAAAAGTGAAATGAGTTAAAATTTCGTGGTGACGCGGAGGTTTAAGACGCCTGTTTCTTATGCATGAGTAATAAATGAATAACGGGCGTCTTCTTCGGAGTTCTCATGAGTAGTAAGAAAAAGAAAAATATCGTGAGCATAACATGACTCGTCCTGAGAACTCAAAATAACTAACACGCCTTTGGGTTTCTTTATTCATTAAAACTTAATCAATTCTTATAAAAAATTAAAGATTATAATCAAAATAAGAATATTATGATGATTAAAAGCTTCCTTTTAATGTTTAAATTTAGAACGAAAAACAACAAAACCTTTATTTAATAAGGATCCCTTAGCTGAATATAAAATAACATATTATGACGTGAGGTTATAAGTACCTAAGTTAAATATAATGTTATAATTATTGAGGTCGTAAATATTAATATGTATTCTTAAACAAAATAATCTCCTTTGTCATCATCAGAGAGAATCCTAAAGACGTAATTGGGAAGACCCAATCAATATCTGTTTACCTCGGTTGACTAAGGAATTGAACTTATGATTCATTTGAACCCTGGGAAGCCACGGCTTTCATAAAGAAACACATAATTAGTAAAGAACGTAGAGATAATTATTTCTGTACTTATAGTGTACCCAAATTTAGCCAGATGTTATACAGTTTTTAGTGTTTTAAACCATTAGGGCCGATTTTTCCTAAGCCAAATAAATTTTTAACTGAGGAATTACTTTGACTTGAAAAATTTTTCTATGCTAAAAACTTTTAAATGTCAATTTTATTCTACAGTTGAGAATTAAGTGTGATGATTGAAAACTGGGCCCTAAATGGATTTTGCGTTTAGTTTTTGACACGCCGACGAAATTTTTTTATTGGGGTTAAGTGTTATTTTTCCTTTAGACTGAATAGGAATTTTGTTTGTCTGATCTAGTTGCTAAAAAATTTAGTATTTACCTGGTGCAATAAGTTGGTTGATCTTGTTATTTGTTCTGGAAGCTATCCAGGTGTTGATCTGTCGAGCCGCTTCCTCGGGCCTATTATAGCTCAGGCGGGAGACGTCGCTATAGAAACTCTGAGACGCTCTGTTTTTGAAGTCTCGATTCACAGCAAAAGCATCAGCTATAAACACATTGTTTGCTACTTTCAGAACGTTACGGGAGCTGCGATTCTGGAAAATGATCATGGAAAAATTTTTATATTTTTAAATGCTAACTAGAGCTCTAAACTTTCGTAACTAGAGCTATAGACGAAAAGGTTATATTAAGTCTTTGACTGCCATGGACAAACATTAACGTGTTAAGGACAATGTTTTAAAAATAACATAACTGTTAATTTTCAATAAAAGCAGAAAATACTCACAGAACTTTATTGTTTTACTTTCGCAGTTCCACTTTTATTAATCCCATTATTAGATATCTACAGAAGTAAGCCTAATTCCATAATTTGAATCATTGAACATACAAAGCATACATGTAATCTAATTCTATGATATTTTAATATAACTCCTGTAAACGTGTTCCTTACTTTTATATCTCCAGTAACACGAGCATAAGAAGAAGCCGTACTCTCGCGCGACATATGCAGTGCGTTTGTTATTTGTGCTTCAGTTTCTCCATACGCTCCTTGTTGCAATAAAGCCAGGAGTGAAGTGATTGACAATGGAGACAGTACTGCATTACCAGAATGTACTGTATCAATGTTCTGAAACCAAGAATACAAATGATGATGTTGTGGACATGATGAGTGGTCTAGAAATTGAACCCGAGACCAATCATTTCGCAGCCGCACTATTAATACAATATGTGACCAAAGCAGGCAATCTTTAAGAATTGAAATAAATATTAATATTCACGCAAAATTGATATGCTACACAACTTCCAAATGACATATTGATTGGTTAATATTACAATATTTTATTGAGGAAAATTAATAATCTTTTAAACATACAAATCCTATTTTATTTATGCAAGAGTATTGCGACGGGCATTTTGCCTTAGAGTAGTAAAAAAATTTACCTTCATCAAATTAACTCCGAAGTTGGTTACGGAATACAACAAATTGTTGAAACCCGCAGATTGGGCAGGTGAGTTGAAAGTTGAAGAACTTGACTGTACAGTAGGTCTTTGAAGCTCACTTTGAGGTACAGCCACTGATGGTCTACTGAGAGAAATCTCCGGAACGCTAGGCCGATCTCTCGGTATTTGCAATGAATTTGGCACACCCAAATATATCTGTTGAACCGCAGGTCTGTTTAATTCCGATTGTGGTATTGCCACCGTAGGTCTTCCAAGAGAGATCTCTGGTCTTTCCTGTGGTATTCTTGGTCTATTTTGTGGTACATTGTACGGTCGCTGTCTTTCTAAGACTTGTCTGTTTGGTGTGTTTTGAGGCGTATCTTGTCTATCCACAACAAGTTGCTGAGCTGTCTGTCTACTCGGTATTGTTGGGGTTGATATTTGTCTACTTATTATATTTTGTTTACCAAAATTATCGACTTGTTCAACACTTGTACCAAAAGCTAGCTCAGTACTCTTTTCTATCTCTACTGTGGTCGTCGGTTTTGTCTGCCTCGGTGGTTCATTCCCAAATACTCTTCGTAATGCATCATCGTCTATCCCACCACGACCTATTGAAAGTGGGACTATTGAGGGAAAATTATCGGAAAAATATAGTCGGTTTGGATTAAAATAATTTCCAAAAAATGGGTCTTGTGACTGGACAGCAATCATCAGACAGCAGAATGTTATACCTGTAAAGAATATTGCAATTATGGTAAGTTGTTTGATGATCCTTGCATACTATCACAACAATCAACAAAAACAATCACTACATCGATACAGTCGAAATATTAGCCTTATGCATTGGAAATTGAAACAACTTCCATAAACAAAACAACTCAGACTCCACTTTCTATTTTACTTCGAGATCAAAAACCTACACAAATACAATACAACATACATGGCAACAAAATCTTTAAAGATCAACATTTTGAACAATTTTCATACAAATGACGCAAAAGCCCCAATCAAGAAAACGACATCGTTCGCGTAGGGCACGTTCACCCGTAACGTGTGTTCATGTGACGTCATACAAAGATGTTCATATAACCTATCTCAAAGATAGAGCTATTAATAAGAAAATAACTTTCATAAATGATGATATTACCAATTATAACAATTTGATCTTTAAGACTTGATTACGCTTTTTGCATAATGTAATCAAAATCGTCATAGCCATAAAATCTACAATCAAGGATCAAATATTTTGATTTAAATTGAACTTGTAAAACCATGTTCATCTACGATTGTTGATTTAAATAAATATAATATTAAGTATTTATACTCACTTGTTAAAATCATTGTTACTGTGTTTTACTTAAAAACTTTGTAATTCATTTATTGTTTACGTCTATTATCACTGTTTGACCTCTGTCACATGTAGCTTATTTTTCGTTAGTCACTTTATCAAATGCGCCAGCGCACAGTTCACATACATGCACTAACCACTGACACTACCGGGCGAGTGGCCGTAAACAAGAATCCGCGACTAAAAACCTGTTTAAATGAATCAAATAATTTTAAACATTATCTCTTTCGCTTAAAGCATAATTTACGTTGAAAACTCGTTCAACTCTATAATAGTAAGATGTGATTTTAATGAACTCATCATTCGAATTTGAACGTACGGCTTCACAGTTTAAAGTTGATGTTCAATAAAATGGTTTCTGCAAATTTAGATGTCGTCTACACGAATTGGTTTTCCCGCGAACAGCCGGTTTATGTTTTTCATTGGCAAGCCTTAATACATTTTAAACATATACTCATACATGGATATTTTATAAGAAATCTGTCTGATATAATGACACTTTGCTTAGAATCGATTATGAAATTATTATACCTAACACCTAGCTTTTCAATTTTAATTAAGATTAATTGTGTGCTACTCTTAATCTAGTTACGTAATAAATTTATCATCAATCGTTATTCTAGCAATCTAGCTTTTTGAAATAGTATTTTATAATATTAGTCGAACGTTTAAGAAAGAACATAAAATTAAATCAATTTTCCAATTACGGTAATACCTACAAGAGAATGGCTGTTCACATTTTTATTTATTTCATTAAAATCAGGTTTTGCCTTCAAAATGTCTGCATTACATAACGATTTTGCACACAGAACCAATGAATCCTTATCCTCAACAGTTTGGTCTTTTGTAACTGACTATTGCACATTAGACTTAGAAAAATCGGTTTTGTAAAAATTTGGTCAATTTCTATGATGCCATGGTAAGTTATTGGCAAGAGCTAGTCATTAGATATTTTTGCATAATATGAAAAGGATGCTAGCTAAGAACGTTGATACTCCTACACAGTAGCGGATAGACCGGTTGGCAACGCGGTCTACTAAAAAAATAAATAAGAAAAGAAGTGATGTAGTTTTATGTGTTCTAGTGAAAAAGATTCCAAGCACATCAGGGCTTGTTGTAGCAAAAACAACGCAAACTTGATTATCTCCAGTGATATTGTTATTGACGTAGGTAGGTAGACCAACCATGTTTTTATACATATTGATTCCATTCGTTCGTTGACCCTTTAGCGAAAGCGAAATACTGATTTTATACTATTATTGCTACACTTTCGATGAACTACCTATATCACAAATGATATTGTAGAATTTATATGTATCTTTTGGTCACAGTATGTTTATTTAGCTTTTTGTCACGGTGTATTATTTTCTACGGAATTTTTTTCATATTATCTGACATTATACTGGTGATAATTTTATTGTAATTTTCAGAGAAATTCAAATCCAAACTATCTATTACCTACATAATTTTGTAGAAAACAGATGTCATTGTGCTTCGCATTATAAGAATAGGCATAAAAATAAAACAAAAGTCTAAATAAATTATTTTTATTATACAAGGTCGTTTACATGTATTGAGATGACAATTAACAAATCACTAGTATTACTCACAATGTCCAAACTGTTTACAAATGTATTTATATATTTGACGACAGTCATCCTACTGTAATTAATCTATTTTCGTCAGAATTTATAGTCAGAAAATCAACGTGAACCTGCACGATGAGGGCAAATAAGAAATGATAATGAAATTGAGTATTTAACTTGAATAAAATCACTGGAAACTGAATTTATGAATACAAAAAAGTCCTAAACAAGCAAATTGGTAAATAGTAGACAAAGGAAATACGGATGATAATCAAATATCTGGCTTAACATTCAGACCAAATTAATAACTGGAATTTTTAAAATACCCATAAATAAGGACAAAACTGACGTAAATACAAAAAAAAAACAACCAAAAATGTATGGACAAACAACACAAAATTCGTTATTGATAAAATTGAATTATTGTGTTGTGATCAATGGCTCTTAAATCTAATTATTATTTACATGTTTTAAAAACGAATTACAGAAAAATTAACCTCTAAAAAGCTTCTAATGTCATTTTGTTACATAACATAACTCAATCGATATCATTGAAGTCAGTCTCAAGTTTTCCTACTCTCTAGTCGAGTCAGTTCGAAAATATAGTCAAAGTCATCTGTAATATATTATTTACTTACCTCCACTTCTAAATTAATGATCATTTAAATCAGTCCGTTAAAAAAGTCTACTCTCAAAGTCGTGATCTGTTTCGTTAATCATACCATTTTTGTCTGCTAAAGTGCAATGACTCGATTGAAACAATTCCTAATGTCATTTAAAAATCTATGTTCACTTAAAACATTATTCAATGTCGTAACTTTAGTATAGTCACTGTAATCATCTAGGTCTATTAATTCTAGTTCACATGTATAGAGGTAGAATTTTATATATTCATCAGTTTGGTTTTAACCTTGACTCAGAAACTCTTACTTCCATAAGAGCTAAGTCGTTGGATGCTCTGATGATCTTCTGTGCTATGTGGTTCGGAGCCATGCCATAATGTTCCAGAGGTGTTTTGTATTCGTACATTGGAGCACCCACAGTACGTACAGCCCGACGTAAAACAGCACAAGTGTACGATAAACTTGTTGCTTTTTTCTCTGCAATTTTGAATCTGAAAATAGAAGCACAAAATGGTAGTTTTGGTTGAGGCTTAATCGAAATTGATACAGTATCAAGTTACGTGGTGCACCTATATTTTCTACTATTTTTGGAGTTTTAGGTTTTTGTATAAAAATGGAGAAATTAATATTATCAATGTAGGTAAGAGGAGTCAGAGTCAATTAATAAAATATATAGCACATATTTACATTGAATGACTTAAATTTGTATGAATTATTTCATATTCTATATTTCATTATAATTTAATAATTTCCCTATCCATTAATAACTGAATTTGTTAATAAATTAATCAATTCTTCTTTTAAAAGTGGGTAACCCTAAGTGCTAGAATGACAGTCATGTTATTATAGCTTATAGCAAACACGTTTCTCCAGTTTACTCATCTGCCTTTGTAAGGAATTAATATCAGTCGTCAATAGTACTTAAGACCAAATAAATAAAAAATCAACTATTTATCAACAGAAACCGGTATATTGACGATTACAATTTACCCAAAAATCAAGATTTTTTAAATGTTTTATACAAACCTGTTCGGCGAAGACAATTTGATACAGCTACATGTCAATTATGTGTTTTTTTTATCCTTAAGGTGAAGGACAGTTATTAAGGCTATTGTAAATTGAATACTTAAATACTACGTTCTAAAATTTGATTTACCTTTTAAACACAGAAATTCTAGGTACGAAAATTCTCAGTGCCATTTTTCTGAAGATTCGTGGTAAAGACTTTCTAATTCTCTCAACTTAAAATATTCCAACTGATACGAATTATGCCTTTTTACGGTAATTCCATTCCATAGAATGTTCTTGTTCTTTTGTCTTTTATCCTAATAAAAACCCTTGTTCTTTTGTCCCCACAAAAGAACAACGAGTCCACATAACGAAACAAAAACGTCCGTAAAAATACACATACATGTTACTCTCGTGTAGTCGTGCCAACAGCTCCCTTTTCCTTAGCAGAAGCACAGCATTTCTGACAGCTGCCACAGCAATCACTGACGGGTACTCATCACAAAGAAAACGGTCCACCATCATTCCACACATGGCGAGGAAGGTGGCTGCCACTTCTATCTCACCACTGCAGTCACCCGCACACCACCATGCTAAGTAATTTATGAATTCCTGGGCCACCACCGGCTGCCGGGGAAATTTCTGAAAGAATGGTTATTTAATTATAATGTTTTTTGTTTACTCACGTAATTATTCGACGAGTAACTTGATCGGTTTCAATCCATGCTAGAGGCTCAAATTTATGAGCAGCATTCCGCGACCCACGACGCGGCGACTGTCGCACTGCTATTGAGACTAGTCGAGTAATTACCAGAGTAAGCCAAAAAATATAATAATTAAATTAACGAAAGTTATATAAATGGTTATTTTGTTTAAACTGTTCTAAAGGTTAATTTGTAAATAATGTGCTCTGTCAGGATTATCCTAATCCTAATCCAAATTTTCAGGAGCATGTCACTAAATAGAGAAGTGGGTATTTTGGTGAATTGGCCAGCTTATAATAATGTGTAGTAAACTAAAAGTCATACTCGACTAAGAAATGGTACACTTATTCCAAATTCTTGTGCACAAATTATGTTTGTAGTTGGCTTAACAAGCTAGCCAGATGAAAAACATAAAGGAACCCCAAGATAATATCAACATGGCGACTAGACGTATTCTTTCCATATTTTGATAACACTTTTAATATACAATTTCTTTACTCAATAAAACACGTCGTATTTCTGACTGCCTGACAAACTTTTGACTTTAAACTTCGATCAACTATGACAACTACTTAGTTGATCTTTTTTGCACTTATTTTTCAAAGGTTGAGATAAAATTATGGTTTCTCAGAAGGGTCAGGTCTAATCATTAAGGATTAAGGATAAATACTGAGAAAAGTAAATTAAACATAGAAACACAAGATGGACGATATGGTTTACGAACTCATTTCACGTATTTTGTTTTCCTTATTAACTGATTATAACGGCATGACGACTGAGCAGATTAATTTTCGCATTTTTACTTAAGCAATATTTAAAGTTTAGTAACTTTAGTGATCATCTTTTTCGGTCATAGGATTATACCTCTATTACATGCGAACGATCAACGCTAATCTCTACTGTAGTAGAAGGACGTAATATTTTACTTTAGCATATTAGAAGATAGAACAGACTATATGACTATCTGATAAACATGAACCTCTTAAACAGCGATTTCCAAGCCACCTGGCAGGAATGGAGATTATGCCCATATGTAAATTGGTGCATAGTTCAGTTGTGGACTCTAACGAGACCGTTGATAATTTTATGAAGACTTACCAATCTTATCAGCACAGCTTTCTCAGTGGCTAACAGCTTCTCACAAGTGAAGGCTGAACACGAGTACCTCACGAGTCTCATCGCTGGCATCACTGGACCATTCAATTTCTGCGCTATCCAGTAACAGGCTGCTGCGACCAATTGTAGCCTTTCCACCTGGACGTGACCAGTTCCTAAGATCGAGTCCAAGTACCAACACGCGGTTTGGACAACGGCTGGGTTGCCAAACGTTCCCTATAAATGGAAACATTCTTTAGATCGTGCACATCACATCAATAGCTTATAATTGGTCACTGCTGACCAAAGGCCTCTTCTCACACGAAGAAGCTTTGAATATTTATCACCACGCTCACTCAATGCGGGTTGGCAATTTCAAACTTTTAATTGGATATAATAAATCTAGGTTTCCTAACGATGTTTTCCTTCGCCGTATTTCAGTGGTGTATAAATAACCTTAGAAAGTACATGATAACTCGGAAGAAGTCAAATTAGTACTTGTCGTTGATAGGTCTCGAACCCTCGTGCATGCAATGATTCTCATGAGAAGCGGGCGTCTTAAGCCTCCGCGGGCCACCACGATACTTTTACAGATACATTTCTTCATTACTGTTATTAGTCCTACAGACCTTAGAAAACATGGAATTGATCCTAAAAGAGGGTGTGTAATTCGGAGGTCATTGAGCGAAAGGTTTTATTCAGTTGAGAGGCCTGAAGTAGATTCAGGAGTTTGACGTTATCAAAGATTTCTTGTTTATAGAAATCATGTTTAAGGTCGACAGTCGATTGATCATACAAATACCTATTTCTTTATTAAAACCTGCATAGTGCTATTGTCTAAGGAAAAGGAGTGTCTTTAAAGATTAACAGTTTGTCTTCAGTGCCGACAATTTTGAAATATGTTTCTGCAAAAGTTTTCCTCAAATGTTATTATTAACAGTAAGTGGTCAGGCATCTATGTCATGATTGAATGCATATTAATGTGCAGCTATTGTTTTATTACTTGAAATTAAACAGACATACCAATATCATAGACTTCCAAGAAACTAATAGTAGATAATTTATTTTACAATGTAAACAATTTTCTAATGAGGGGAAAAACATTCAGGAATTACATTTTTGGTCACTAGATAACATTTGATAATGACATCATCTAAATATATAATCAACATTCATTGAACCTAATTTCTATGTTATCTTAAGTTGTATATATTTTGTAATAGTTAGTATTTATTTTATTTAAGTTTGTATATTAATAAAATTCTCCAAATAAATTTTCTGACTTATAAGTAAAATTTCTATAATTGTAGAACAAAATATTATAGCCGTAAAATATACCTACTATATATTTTCAGTAAAATTTCATTAAAGAACATAATCTGTTCCAGTTACTAACTAAAAACATTTCTAAAAAGATAATTAAGAATTAAGAACTTTTTAATCGATTTCCCAAAACCCCTTTTTGGGAAAAAGTTAAGTGAAAAATAAGAAACATAAAATATTCGTTGCTTTACTATAAGTTGTATCTTTGTAATATGATGCTCAAATACTATAATCAGGAGCAGTCTTCGGTCACTATTAACATTGGTCAAAATCTATAAAATATTTTTATAGTATTTGTCCTGTGCAGGTGGTAAAGCTACTGTCAAAAACGTTCAGGTACCTATGTATATCGTATACGTGCATAACTGTTTACCTACAGACTAACCTTAGCAAAGATTGCTAACAAGCGCATCTATAATATATTTAAATATAAACTTCATCCCACAACAAGGGAATTAACTCGTCGAGCACCGTCATTATAGACACAATCAAAGAACAATAGGTTGCGGTCACCGGTGACCGCTTGGTGTTTGACAGTTTAAAAAGAAAACAAAATACAATCTACATTACTAGATGACATGTAAAAATTGCTGACAACTTTTAACTTGTAAAAAAGTGTTTAAAAAATAAATTAAAAGGTATATACTCACATTAATTTTTATTAACCAGTTGATAACACATGCCCTGGAGACACTAGGAGTGCGAGGCACATCAAGAGGCTTACGCTCCACATCCAGGAGATACTCGAACATGTCCGCAGAATAATCTCTGTTAAGACATCGCATGTATGACCTCTTCCCTGGAACAATATCATTTGCCACCTACATTACGTATTCTGTCCATTTGGAGAATGAACAAAACCACCAACAAACTACATCGATCTACGACTAGTTGTCTATTTCACACCTTTTTCGATCAACTATTGAATCATAGTGAATGCTTCATTTGTAAATATCCACCAAATACTAATGTACTTGTGTCCGGTTTGAAGTAGTAGCGGTCGTCTAGTGTTTAACCGATGATGTCAATTTTTGCACAAAGATCAACAAATTAATTTACACATACCTCCGACTAAGAAAAATAAACAGCTGGGCTTTAAATCAATGTCTTACATTTACAAATAGGCAAATGAAATTGATTATTCAAAATGTCCCTTAATAAAATATGGTCTCATAAATGATATGGTTTATTTATATTCGAATGTTGTAATTGCGATGAATAAAATCATCAATAGGTTTGTGGACATGTGTGATGTAAGTAAACCAAGTTGTGTCATAGTACTATGAACTTATATTGTCCCTAATACCGATGAATATAAGTACAAGAACTAATCAATACCTACGTGAACTAAAATTAACATGAGAGAAATGAAGGGTTGCTTCTTATTTAATGAATTATTTTGTACAAACTCTAGCTCAAGTCATGAATATGTTGTATACAATACAAGAATCCTTTGATTGAAACGTATTCATTAAATGACTTACAGAAATCCGGAGTCCCAAGTCTTTCTTGTAAAGTTTCATTAAATTGTAAACGTTTTTTTACTTTTTCATCATCCTTTTGTTGTTTGACAGGGGCCGGTGGTGACAGACCCTGTAACTCTCGACTATGAGGTCTTTTCAAACTCCTTTTTATATTCTTAATACGGTTTGATTCCAAGCATTCCTGCAGATTAGGCGTCACAGCGTTTACTCCCAAAGTATTTTTCTTTTTATTCTCTACAAAATGTTTTCGGCTATTCTTATCATCCAAATGTCTTTCATCATCACTAATAGATATAACACTTGCTTCTTTGTCTTCTCTTCTATCTTTGAACACTGTATAATGCCAATCTAAATCGTCACTTTTCTGCCTTACTGTAACATGTTTAGTATCAATCTTCAGGGGTATGCGAGGTTTTAATGGCACCACTTTACTAGGGCCAGGTTTGGGAATGTTTTGAGCAAGCAAAGTCCTTAGAGGACATCTTTTTGGAAGTTCTAGATGCTTTTTACTATGACTATCCTCTAATAAATGACTCGGCAATGCTGGTAATGGATCTTTTGGCAGCGGTATTCTTGTTTTATGTGTATTTTCTTTATCGACGTCGTGCCTTGAGGTCGCCATATTTTTTATTTTGTAACCGGCACAAAAATGGAAATACAATAAATACATGTGACCACGACCAGCGTGACTGTAACTATGAGTGAATCATTTTACTTGGCATAGTATCATCTTAAATTACCCTCAAACATTTTTAGAAACTTTTATTTTTATCTGGTGAAGGTTGTAAACTTTTAGATATTAGGAATCAACGAAACAAAAATTGCCAATTTAAATAAATAATTTAATCTTAACCATATCACAACATTACAAAAAATAAATAATAACTTATATCTAACTTACAAACTACGCTGTGTACTTTTTCATAATCAAATGCATCTGGTTGTTTATTTAGAAACTTGTACAATCTCACAGCAAGGTATGAAGCACGTCATATTGAAACAAATAAATACAAGCGGAACGGGTGGGAATCTCTCATGAGAATGCCGAAGGCAGTTGTTAGGTCCTCAGGACAGAGTATGAAAAAGAAACACCAAAGATGGTGATGAGGATTCAAAATTTTCAAACTTAGTTTTTGAGTTAGTTGTCAAACGGTTTCTCTGGTTCAATAACTTTGCCAGCCACGACGACTAGATTGTCCAGGGTGTCCAAGATGTAGAAGATGAAGGGATGTTCCACGTTGAAGCGACGGTATGACTTGGGTGGAGACAATGGCAAGTTCTTTGATAGTTCCATAACTGTGTTGGCAGCTGCAATTAAAAATATAAATTTTATTTCTCCAATCTACGTAAATTGATGGATTAATTTGAAACCATTACGTGTTTCATTCTTTTATGTAAAAATATTGCAATTGTGAACTAATTTGTTAATTGTTGTTTATTTTACTAAAGATCTCTTTTCGCACAATTGACAATAGACATGCTCAATATTACACCTAATTAATAATTTCAAATATAATCGCCATTTGCTACTGGGAAAGCTTTCGTATTACCTGATAATTCTGAAGCAGAGCTGTCAGTTTCATCAACACGGACTGCAACGTGCTGCACTAGCTCTTGTACAAACAGACCCTCATCAGAAGACACGCCAGTCAGGTCTGCATCTCGGCTGAAGATACTGCTAACACCAAACTACAAAACACAAAGAAAAAGTTAAACAAATAAAATAATACACTATTGTTATAGTCTTCAAACACTAAATAAAATTTAATGGTCACAAAAACACCGTTCAATGGTCATTATGATGATCACAATATCACCCCAGGTCGTACTTCCCCATTTATAAGTGTGGGAGAGCCATGCTTCGGCGCAAATGGGCCGGCTTGATTGGAGTGATACCACAGCCTCATAGCAAACCGAAGTGAAGCAACGCTTGCGTTGTGTTTCGTCGTGATAGTCAAGTACCGGAGGCCCAATTACTCTTCTTCCCCAATTTCCCAAATCCCTGAATCCCCAACAATCCTTAAATTCTAATCCCCAAAAGGCCGGCACCGCACTTGTGACACCTCAGGTGTTCCAGGTGTCCATGGGCCACGGCAATTGCTTACCATCAGGTGATCTCATTTACCGGCTTATCCCATAAAAAAGTATAAATAATAAATAACGATATTGTTATTACAAAGTCTAGCAATTACTTCGATAAAATTACTTGAGATTAAGTCACTCACCTTGGCCAATGCAGCAACAGGTTTGGTGGTGGTCTCCACTGAGAATGCAGGAATGGATACTTGGAGCTCTTCTTCCGTCAGACTGTCTTGAATGTCAGATAGAGGTGTCACGGGCAAGTCAGCAGTCAACCTGGTCAGACCGTCACGAGTACGAGGCACCACCAGTAGCAAGGCGTAGCGACCACCCTAGATAAATATAGAAATGTTTAGTACAGTCAATTGATTCATATTTAGTATAGTCAGAAACCCAGTAATGCTATGGAAATCAAATCCAAGATCCCTTTCTCGCTGATCACATTTTAATATATGTATTTTCACCCTGTAAAGCAATTCTTACTATAGATACGTACAGCATAAGGCAGCTTAATGGCCTCAGCATCGAGTTCAGGAATGGCACCAGTCTTGAACATTCCCTTGATCTTCATCATAGAAACCTGCTTCTTCTCAGTGTTGGATTTGTAGAACACGCCAGGCTCAATAGCGTCGAATGGAGTCTCCCATGACCCACGGAAGTACATGCCGTTGAAGATGATCATTAGAGAGTCTGAGATGGAGGCTAAAATAGAAAAGAGAATCGTAAGTAAGCACCGATTTAATTAAATTAAAAATATCTTTATTTTAAACCTATTAAAACACAGTTTTCTGTTAGGTTAACCATGTGAAGTGATTTACAATTACAATACAAAATTGTCTTACTTGATTTCTTGCCGACACTGTTTACAGAGAGGCTGGACGTAACATCACGAAGAGCATGCACAGCTTTAAGGCTCCTAGCATGGTTTCTTGCTTCAACGGCCACCATAGTTTCTTCTTCATCTTCAGAAGACTCAGTCTTTTTAGGGAAGGTCTTAACCAACTTAATCTTTTCCTTAATATTCTTCGCTGGTTTGTAATCCATATGGGAAATGTCTACCTTCTCAGGAATATCATCGACGGCAAAGGAGATAAGTTTCTCGTCGGTTTCTTTAGGAGGCATCATTTCAGGGATTTCTTCATCTTTCTTTTCCTCATCCTTCTTGTCGGATATCTCAATGGTGAATTCACTCTTATCTTCATCATCGTCATCATCTTGCATATGTTGTTCAGGATTATAACGCTCAACGGATCGTACGTCGGTTAAATAGTAATCTTCTAGAATCTTCTTGTAATCATCATTAATGGTGTAGTTCTTGTAGATGTAGAAATAGTTCTTCAACTCTGGCTGGTTGTATTTGTACTCGTGGTTGTTCTTCAGCCTTTCCATAATGTAGCGGTATGTCTTCCTGATGAGCTGAGGGTCTTGAGGCAAGTGTAGGGCTGATACTAACTGTTCTCTAGTCTCTCCACGGGCACCTTCCGCAAGGATGGCCAAGATGGCCGAATAACCGAGAGGAGAGAATGCAATATTTTTGTCATCGTCAATGTAACCCTGAAAATAGAAAAAATATTTATGACTATTTAGAAAATATACTTTTCCTGAGAACATCTTAGAATTGATGGTTTTTTACTCCTATTTTTAACATTTTAGCATGTTACACTAGTTTTAGTTTTTCAAACAAATAACATACATTACATAATGTCACATAATACGTAACTACTATAGCCACGAATGCTAGCATGCTATTTATGAAAACATCCGCGACTGTCGATCTCCACATTCCTCGGTAACCACATATCCGCACATACTCGACATCAATTAGGCCTACAGCGAAACAATTAGTATCGCTATTGGCTGGAAATCGTGCAGTGTACCGAGTGGTCTCAGTATCGTAGAATGACCCATTATAGTTATGAGTTTTGGCTTCAGGCAATACTCATGCATGCGAAGGGTTCTACGGTTCGCATTCCAGGATGTTTTTTTATTTCTATTTCGCTTACTAATGTTATTAACGTGAAAGGTTTGTCAGGATGATAGGATGTTTCTTACGCTCCCGTAGGCAAAGCTGTCTTAAACTAATATAACTGACACCACCACTTGCAAAACATAATTGATTTCACATTTGTCTAAAACTGAAATAAGGACCACCAGGAACTCATTTCATTGTTTTTTCTTCTTATCTATGTCTGTAAGAAGTTAATTCCAACTCTCGAAGTGTCAATGTCATTAATTGGTCGAGATTATTCTCACAACCAATGACGTGGCGGACCTCAATCGAGCTCACTTTACAAAATAGCCTTGTTAATCAACATATTCACAGAGCTAAAAGACCTACATAACTAGGTAAAAAGAAATGTTTGCAATCACCTGGAAGATTGCTGTGGACAGTTCACTGCTCGCTTCTCCTACGAAGCTGGTGTCCTTGGGCTGGTTGGAGCGACCATTGCGAAGCCATCTTGCACTACTTAATCCCACCACGAACAAAACTGGAAAAAAGAAGAAACGGTGAATTAGAACAAGATATTATGTAAAACACTTCATTTAAGAAAATACCAGTTATTACAAACTATTAGTCATAACATTTATTTACTAAATAACATTTCATTTATTCAAGTTCTTGGTCTATTTGATGTCCAATTACCACATTGGCTTATGAGGTATCAAGTTTCTACATTATTTGTTAGGGACAAATAAATACTTATTGAAGCTTGCTAATTCTCTTAAATCTACCATAAAACGAAAATATAACGGACAATCAAAATAGAACCGACCGAATATTAAAATCAACATTTAATCCTCTACTTGTACCCATATCTAAGCAAATATTAGCCACATTAACCTCCTTTACAAATTTCTAGTAAATTAATGTCCTTAATTATGACTCGATTACTTCTCGATGTAACTGTTCCGGGCGATATCGATTCGAGACTGGTTCTCGAGACATCTCGAGATTGTGGGTCGAGTGTAGCGGTATCGATGCATCTTGCATGGATACCCAACTGTTGCAGGACAATTTATTTATAGATCTTAAGACCTGGTTTACATTGGTGTAAAACGATGTCTGGTTCTGAAGCTGGTTTTAATAACATGCGTTCTTTATGAAAGTAGTCATCACCACCAAACTCATGCTAATCAACTGGATTATAGGCCTCTTCTACTTGTAAGAGGAGTTTATCTTAATTTCCATACCTGACAAGGAGGTTAGGGATCGCTATTTAAAAGGTTTAAGTTTATTAAAGAGCGCTGCTGTCTCAGTTAAATATGTAGGTATTGTGTTGCATGCAAAGAAAGTTATTCGTTATTACAAACAGACATTAGCACACAGTTATTCTAGCGATAATATCTCACATGATATCTGTAAGGATTTGTGTACCAGAAAATACATAATAAATAATGTTCTAAGTAAATTATTATCAATTTTAAACTTTCCAAATAAAGCATAGGTATTTGTTTGACAACGAAGTGTCAATGTTCTAGTAGATGATTATGAGTAGACATATATAGTTACAAAGTTATAAATATCGTAAATAACTGTTATATTAATCATTTATGAGCATGCGAAAAACGTGTCACAAAATCTGACGAAAAATACAGCCAGGGAATCTTGTACGAATGTAGAATAATGCTCTTCCCGTGGGTGTCATGAAAGTTTCTTTCTTTTGGATTCAAGAGTAAGCCCCCTGGTAGTGTATTATTATTAGGAGGATGCTGTGGTGACGACAAAGCACCCCTGCTCTTCCCGTGGGTATCATGGAAGTTTCAAGTTGATAGTGAACAGAAATTGGAAGCAAAAAGTTGTTGCGTTGACTTCTTCTGTTAGTAGTTAAAAAACTAGATATAATTATTAGTTAGCAAAAATTTGGCTATATAAAAGAATGATAATAATAGTTCCTTCGTTTAAATACTCCTATAGTAAATCACAGTAGATTTAACAATAACAATAAAACATATCCAAAGAAAGCTCATTTTTATGTGTCCTTCTAGAAAATTATTGTCCATAAAATATTCAACCGCATGACAATGAGACCTGACACTATGACAGTGGATTTTAAATCCTAAACTTTAAGGTTCAAAGTTGAAGTTTATTCTGAAGTCATTCTGGGAAATAAGTGATGTACCAACCAATACATATGACACTTGAACATTTCACAAATGGTTTTGTGAAAGCGATTTCTACAGTTGTGTAAGTTTTCATTTTAATGTTCACGGAAAATTTATTCACGATGCACGAATTATATTAGAACTAGCTTTAGCTCGCGTCACAAAAGGATAAAACGTAGCCTATGTAACATATACAATACACACAGCGCCATCTATACCAATACTTTTATTTTCCCTCGGGAAAATAAAATTTTTCCGGGATAAAAAGTACCCTATTGTTTAATCCAGACTTCTAACTTTACGTCTGCAAAAATTCAAAGCAATCGGTTTAGTAGTTACGGCGTGAAAGCGGAACAAACAAACAAACTCACTTTCCAATTTATAATATTAGTAAGGATTTTACCTACACCTTGACAGTCTGTTTGTCTTGTTTCCTTGCTAAGAATAGAAAATTAATTCTAAAATATTCTTGTTTTGATGCCCGCTTCATTTTAATGGCTAATTTTCTACGCTTAACTAGTTGAATCACAGTCATTTTACGTGTATAAAATCAATTGTTAAAACTAATTTATCTTTCTATCCTATGGGCTTCTAGCAAATAAAAATTATGAAACCATATTAAACCTTCTTTATTAATATGATATAATTAGTTAGATACACTTGTTAGTAAGTGTAAATAAAATCGTTTCCGTAAGAGCAGAACAATCGCAGTAATTACATCCGACAAACGCATGCGATTATGCGCAGATTAGCGGCACGGAGCGATGCGCCGGCGCACCCGACACGGTTGAGAACCGAATGCAACGATGCAACGGTATGTACGGTGTAATAATGATATCTCTGCACTGATACGCCTATTTAATAGCGTGAACAAAGATAACATAATCTAACATTGCGATCATTTTCTATAATAAGTGTAGCTTTTACATTGCTAAGTTGTTTTAAGCCAGTGTTTTTTAAACACACAAAAATAATGTGAATTAATAAAAAAAACAGTTAGTAAGAAAAAAGGTTCCAAAACATATGTTCAATTAAAAAAATGTGTCCCTAATGAGTTTGCATAACGACAATTATTTTAGCACATCCTTATTAGAGGCGTTGAATATGTCTATTCTATCTGTACATTAACACATGGACATTAAAATCTACAGAACAATAGACACATTCACAACACATTCAAAGCCTACACAAGACATAGTTATTTAAAAATAATTCTTAAACGACTTGCGTTTACCTCCTTTGTGGGTACTTGTAAAGACTAAGGTACAAAGCATGAGAAAGGCATGCGCTTGCGATTGCTCCAGTGTCAGGTAAAGTAAAGCACAGAGCGGTGAACGTACTTTGCTGACCCTACCCCATTGTGCGCTGTACCGTCAGCAAACACATCGACGAATGACTCACACTTAGCACGCATTAGCACTGATATGATTATAATTTCTAAACGGTTTTTGAATGTCAATGGCTGCTACATTCCTGTCATTAAACCTGTGCTAGGTGACATAATGTTCCCGTTAACGGTTGACTGTCGTATGTTATTTATCTCTAATCTTTTTGAGAATATTGTCTTGAAAAGACTTTGCGAGTTTCTATAGAAATTAAGCCACTACTATCTTCAAACAAACTAGGTACTAACGATACTTAGATATGATTTGGTTCTGATTCCCATAACAACCAAAAATGAACATAATATAAACTTTACTTAGGGCCGATTTTTCAATCTACAGGTAATTCTTAATTGTAGAATAAAATAGGTATTTGACAGTTTTTAATATGGAAGAACTGCCAAATATACAAAATTGTTCCTCTGGTATAATTTAACTGAGTGTTGAAAAATTGACCCTTGTTGTCACTTAAGCACATGACACCCTATATTTAGTGACTGATTTTGTTTTTTATTTTCATATATCAATAAATATATTTTAGATTCATATGCCTTCTCTTCTTCCTACTTAGTACTACTCTTAATACTTTCCTAGATGAAAATTTTATTTTTGCGCAAGCTGTACGCAGCTCTCTAAGTGCATACCTCTCTCGAAAGTAATCACAGCGAGCCACAGAGTAAAATAATAAAGTTTGTTGTAATGCTCAAGTACATACTTCTATAATTGTGAATATAAGTACATGGTACAGGCCACTCACATTTCTATATAAATTCCAAGCTTTGCGAGACAATGTACAGACCAGCAAAATAAGCTACTCCAAACTGTCACAAAACCTTACAGATTCTCAACTTTATCCCTTTGTTATTAAGTTGAAAATGTATTGTAAAATTTTGTTCATTTCGAATACCTTTTTGTGCTAGTGTCTGAACCTACGCAAAGAAATAAAATCCTATTGGTCGGTTCCATAGTTTTTTTCGCATTGGGATCGTTAAACTTAAGGTTTTAAAAGGTCAAGCTGTGCACTTAAATTGCTCATTTTAATCTTTTTTATCATAAAATAAAAGGAAAATGTAGATATTATCACGATTGTGTATATAAATTAAATATACACCTAAGCTAGTTTTTTGAAGACGACATTTACCTTACAGCGGACTATTAACCCTTTTGCCGCCTGCGAATAAAAGTAATATTTACGCAAATGTGATTTTAAATACCCTGACTTGCTGACTTGAAAGTGTATTTTATCTTGCAATTCAACTCATGAGAGCATGCAGCTGTGTAATAAGGTCCAATGTTTAGGGCCAACCTTTGGTCCAACTTATGAGGCCAACATGGACCGTTATAATGAGTCGTAGGACTGTAGACATTACCACCATTCTCTAGAATATGCAGCTATTCGTAATTTATTGTGTGAATGAAGGAAATATTTGAAACGGTATCCTAACATGTTTACACCTCGTAAAGTCGTGGCATACAACGATAAGGCAGGCAGATGTTAATACAATCATACTCTGCAGGTGTGTTGCTTCGGTCCAAAAAGAAAATTAAGCGCAAATGTATTACACCTATTGTCTCGATTGTTCTTTAGCGCACATGGAAAAAGATACTATGAACATGAAGTGTTGTTATCATACGTTACGCAAAATGTATTTTCGTACTAAACCATTGTAGAACAATATCACTGACACTGTGAAGTTAACATAAATATAGTATAGGTTTCTGTCTCTGGAGCCCTAACCACCGGTAGCTTGGACCATGCTCCCGCTACTGGTCGGCTCCTATTTTTATATTTTTAAATATTATTTTTTATTTTATATAAGTAGTATTTTTAAATAAATATATGTAAATATACTATCACAAAATGATTATCAAGAAATAATTAAAGCATACTTCTAAAACGACGCGTGCGCACAGACATCTTTATATTGCGTGAAATTAATATTCGACACAGGCCGAATTCTGTCTTAAGCTGCGTACGTTTTTAACACCAATTGATGGAGGAA